GGCTCCTATAAGCTTTAACCGAGTATCATGCTTCTGGTTTGACGAATGACGAGCCCGTGAACTCAACCATGATGCATCATAGCCTTCGTAGTGGTCGTTCACCTTCCGTGTGATGTGAACATTTTATAACTGGTCACTGTCTTACACATCTGAGGTATGACTGGATCATTTAACTTATGTAGTGAGCAACGGAATGCACTTTAATGACAGGACTCAGAGTTGAGCTAATAGTATTTCACACCCCTAGAGGCATATTTTCTAGGATAAATCAGCTTTGGTTTCTCTTTGTGGTAATGAGTTGTGTCGTCATACCAAATTTAATCGATCGGTTTCAGTTGTTCAGTTACAGAGAGATTGCGGTGGGATGAATGGCATTTCGTGCACAATTTGTATTAGTTCACATAAACATTGTCTTGTGACTCCCCTTCATCACGACTGATTCACGAGGTGCACCGGTCGTCAAGGGAATTGAGTAGTGAGGTACACGTTTCCTCTAAACCTTTCACAGTTCCAAAATTGGTAAAGCTGGACAACATTTAATGCTTAATATTTACTCTCGTAATGAAAAACAGATCCAAAGCACTGAGATGCAGGCCATTATGTGTGTAAACTGAGCATTCCTGGTCCCTCACCTAGACCGTCGATGACTCACTGGTTAACGAGTGCCAAATAAAACTTTCACATGCGTGACGCAGACCAGCTAAGCCCCAATAAACTATGGCGGCATGTAACCATTTTTGTCAAGCAATCGGACTATGTTCGTTTGGTTGAGGGTGCAAATCGGCATAAACACACCTTCGATCAGGTCACTCAACAAACTGAGTAACTGATATCAATCAGTAACCCAAAGCGCGCTCAATCAGATAGCAGCACACATTGATGACTCTGTTTTGAACTGCACACGCAGCAGTATCCAAGATTGTTTTCCAATCAGGAATCGAATATTTTTGAAGGTAGGCAGAAAATGTTTGCCATGCTTATTAGTTAAATAGCACTTTCCCTCACCCGATATCATTTTGTTCTGTTCCAGTGTTGTCCTTGAACATATACACGTAAATGGGTTGGAGTGTAACAATATTTCTATCCGGTTAAGTGTTGTGCTATCGACGATCTAGGCCCTTACTGTTCATCCGATGACGTAACGGTTGTAACCCTACCGTCTGGGCGGTCGTGGCCAACTGCTTAGGTCACCAAAACGTGATCTGGTTCGAACCGCCGCACCACCACCCGTTTCCCAGGGTCAAGGGTCCATTAAATTCCATAATTATTTCATCAGTGAAGAAACAGAAGCAGCGGTTTTCAATAAACTGATCACGGTTTTACGTAAACCCTGACTCGACCAGCTGAATGCAATAGAAATGAGCCGAATAGACTCAGGAACACCTGCACCATCACACAACTGCATAAGATAGGATGCCGCGAAGTTGAAGAGGTATATTTTTGTTCCAAGGCAAATTAAACCTTCTGTGTGTCGTCTCACATCTCGTGCGCACATATAAACACAGATTGAAAAAAATTGTTGGTAATAATCGACGCGAAAATACGCCTACCTCACGCACCCACTCACAATACACTCCTGTTTTTGAGAAAATAGTGGTAGCTATGCGTGACTGCGGTACAAAGAAGACAACATACACACACGTACACATAAACAAGACATGGCGAGCAAGGTGGAGATAGAATTATCAGTCCAGGGGGTGGAGGTGCACAGCAGTGGGAATGAAGACAGGTGAGGCTGGATCAAATACCATATTCTGCTCGCACATAGTACAAGACTGAGCAAGTTAAATCAGAACGAAAGTAATCACAGCCTTCGTTGTTGTTGTGGTGGTGATGGCGTCGGTGGACTCGTTTATGAGAATAGAAAGTAAAGTAAATGTAACAAAGATACACTCACGTCGAGAATTATACATATGTATATCAAAGACGCAGGTAAGAGACCACCTGTATTGACAATAAGCATCATGGTTAAAGAAGAATACGAAAATTACTGGCAGGAGGTACGAGTCACTCAAGGAGAATTGAAAAACAGTCAATTGGACAGCGGAAAGCCTCAGTGTAAGGACATGACCTGGGCGAGCAGAGCACCGATCCGACTCTGCGATATCACATTATGAGAGAATCGAAAAATGGGGGAAGAGGAAGGAGTGGCGGCAGGACAAGGAGATAAGCGTCCAAAGGAAGAAACGTCCTAACACGAGTGCCAAGACAAACCAGATGGGGTCAGAGATCGGTTGTGGGAGCATTGCGGATTTGGCGCACGGGCAGAACATCGTGGAGAAGACAAGGAAATACTTTGAGACGAAAGGACTAATCCACCGTTCGTATAGTCCATGTCTGAAACGAGATGCGCGTACAAAATGATGATAAAGATGAGGAATGCACCACACGAATGCTGATGTGGCCATTGCGTGAGTGTTAAGCATCAACCATTTACAATGATCTGTCAATCATCAGTGATTCCACCCAAATAAAGTTTGCTTGACATTCATTTACGAGTTTCTGAAGGATAGTATTTGCATAGTGAGTGAAGGGCTAAACCGTAATGATACATGTACAGTTTAAAAATTATTGTTGAAAGGGTTAAATCAGTCGATTTAATGATTTCACAGTGAATATTTTTTTTACAAATATAAACGTATTAGTTCAAGTGAGTATACAAGGTAACAGAGTGAAGTGGCCCTTCTGATTTGGGATATGTTTCTCTTTCTCTCTCTTTACAGCTTCATACCTTAATTTGAGATCCATGTTTTACATCTAGTGACTTCGAAAATCATCCGGAAAAACATGCAAGTTGAAAAATGAGGTGTTCAAAGGGGACGTTTGACTGTATAACTGTTTACAGGTAGTTCCGATCAGTAGGATCCTCCGGTGATTGTCAAACATAAGAACAGCTAGAATACCAATGAGCCTTTTTGCATAAATCATCCGCATCTCGAGATGGCGAGATTCCATGCCGTTTGATGTTAAGATATGCTACCCTCGTTTCGATTTTGAAAAAAAACAATAGCTGGAGATGGAAATACATCATTAATGGAAAAGTTGTGTCGTAACTGCAACACTCGACAAAAAACGGTCTAGTATGTTTGCAATGCACGATCCTAAGGAAACCAGTGTGTATAACCGTCACCCCAGTCTAGTATTGGTTTGCTGTCCCCAGAAAATCTAATTTGTTTCCGTGTGTGCTTGGCTCAGAGGAGACTGTGTGTGTGTACATGTGCATTGGAGTTTGTTTATTGTTTCCCCAAACATATAATCCATCCATCACAATGAGACCGCACCTTGACGTGGTGTGATGGCCTGTGTGCGTCCATGACTCCGCGAGCTACACAGGATGGCTTTCACAGACACAGATCCAGTCATACCTGAAAGATCAGACAAAGTTCAGTCTCACAAGGCCAGTTGATTGGGCCCTTTGTTTCCTTGAACAACTCACTCTCGCCAATGGAGTGGACACTCCAGGAAATATACGTGTGGAACAGGTTACCGGTCAAAAAACTCCGCTAGATGGACTTAGGAGCGGAGTACCTATGGATTCCTCTTGACGGTGCGAGAAGTCTTCACAGTTCATTAAACAGCTACCGTCCACCTAAGCTGGACAGACCCCAACCAATAAAGTCCTGTCTAGTCAACGTTCCGTTTGTCTCATCGGGTGCATGAGAATGAGGGCCAATCCCGAATAGTGAACCGACAATCAACGCACCAGTGAACAACACACTGGATCGAAACCCAATGGGCTTGCTTGACAGGTTTCTAGAAGTTCCCACACGAGTGCTTCGGTCACGCTTCCGCGTTGGATC